ACATAATTTGTCGAACATAATTTGTCTTCATTAACTCCTGATAATATGATAAATGTAACCTATTTTCTTTTCTTCGTTCGTATAGGATTTAACAGATGGCTTCAACACGTCATGGAGGACATTAGTGGCTGTTATACCTCCTATCCTTGTATTCTTTGCTATATGCATTGGCTTCATGATATATGAAAAAAAGAGCTATCGCCGTAGATAAGGCGGTTTAAGCAACAGACGGAGAAAGCCCTAGTCATTGAAGTATGTTACATATTTATATGTTTAATTACCACTCATTAACTGTGTGTGTGTGTGTGTGTGTGTGTGTGTGTGTGTGTGTGTGTGTGCTTGTGTGTGTGTGTGTGGTGTGTTGGCGTGTGTGTGTGTGTGTGTGTGTGGTGTTGTGTGTGTGTTGTGTGTGTGTGTGTGTGTGTGTGTGTGTTGTGTGTGTGTGTGTGTGTGTGTGCTATGGAACATATACGTTGAGCGAATACAATGAAATCACACATTTTTCAACCAAAATATAGCATGTAATATATACACTGAAATTTATTAGATGATATTTGAAAGATTTGCTTTGATTATTTCTAGGTGGACGATTTCGATCGGTAACAGTGCAGCTTACTAAGACCAGGCAAGATTGACATATCTATAGGCATGCTCCGTGTTGCCTGTGACGACGATGCATAATTCAGCGTGTTACTACACTATAGTCATTATACTCCGCGCTTGTGCTTGCCGTTGCTAAGTATGAACTAGTCTCCAATGGGAGGGGAGGATTCACATATTCAGCCTAGTGCTTTATGGATTTGCGCGCGAAAACGTGGTGTATAGTGCGCGTTGACAGACGTTATGAATAATGTAATACGTATTGATCGCGGAATTCTTCCAAACATACGGCCTTTGACTTTTACCTGCAGTTTTCCGTCTGCAGACTGTGCATAAAAGTGCGCGAGCGATGACAACATGCGTTGCTATCTTGACGTGTTCGCTACAATAAAGCGGACTAAACGCATTTATGTACAACTTTTTTTAAGCGTCAGTAATGCTGATTGTGTCAGACGTAACTCTGTATTTTCAACGCGGCGTTATATTTGTCAATTGTCGCACAAATTACTCGCGATGGCTTTGACGTGGCTGTTGCTGGTGTTGTTCAATTTTGCATGTATCCAGCAATGATATCGAAGAAGTCAGTTCGACGTAGAATGGATATCATTAGAATAGTCCGACCATGTGTAAAATATAAGGATTTCCTCTGTGGTCGGTAAATGTTAGCAACTATAACCAGGCTGGCTAAGATACAGAGCGGCGTCACAGCTGGTACCTGTCAAACATCAATCATTTTGTGTATTTTAGACACCATTAACCCGTTTACACGGCTTTTTGTAAGCCAGCCTATTAATAAATCGTCTCAATAATAACCCGTCTTATTATTAGCGACCCGTTTACACCGTATAGTGCCGCCCGTAAAGTAGTACAATCATAGACTAATAATATTAAGATACGACACGGCAGGATTAAATCAGTACTATTGCAATCTGTTACTGGATTAGGTTACTGGCGATAGGTGCGTTCTCCTGCCGAAACCTCTACTTGTTAAAGCGAAAGTTGCTCCGATATAAGTCATTAATTTTAATTGTGAATTATTTAATATACTCAATTAAGAATGATCGTTTATACGGTAAAGATACGCTGTCTTGTACTTTTGAGTCGGCTCGAAACCGCTTCATTGACTTGGTTCAAAATGAACGGTTCAGGCCTTCTTGACCCATTGACACGGGTAAATAATAAGACGGTCCATTAATAAGGCGTGTCACGCTGGTTAAAAAGTGCCTGGTTAAGCAGGGTACTAGCTAAACCGACCAGGCTCTCTCGACAGTTACACTACGTTACTACGCCACGTAGTGTTAAGCGAGATGGGAACTTATGGCTAGGTACTAGCAAGCATTTTAGCACGCCCTTTTCCTTCCTTGTCTGACCGTCCTTATACATTCAACTGGCCGTCATTCTGCCTGTTCGTCTATCCGTCCGTCCGTACTTCAGTCTCTCTCTCTCTCTCTCTCTCTCTCTCTCTCTCTCTCTCTCTCCCTCTCTCTCTCTCTCTCTCTTTCTCTCTCTCTCTTTCGCGCTCTCTCTCTCTCTCTCTCTCTCTCTCTCTCTCTTTTTCTCTCTCTGGGTGTCGCTATCTTTTCCTCGCTCTCTTTTCCTCTCCATCGCCTTCTGTAATAACATATGGCAGTATCATAAATATATTGTCGTAACATATGGTGACTTAGTTATACCTTGTAATGTTTCCACACTTCTGCCGTAGTCACGCGGTAAAGGGATAGTGAACACACAAAGAATGCTTCGTCTGTTTTTGTATCTCTACACCTATAAAAAAAATTGGAAATAAATAATAAATAAAACTAGTTAGAAATTTCATGATATCAAAGTTTTAATGAACTTTGCAGCAATACAATTTGCTACACTAATATTGCATTTCTGCCGTCTCGTTTGTAATATGAATTGCGTTTAGTACAGAGTTATTAGCACGCTGCTACCAATATGCTATACTTTCAACATACATTAGAATGTACAATATTAATGCAAAACCTAGGTAGTTCTTAAACGCAGTGTATATAAATGTTAACAAGGAAGGAAACGCAGACAGCCAAGCCATACAGTCCATGCAACTCACACAACTCCAAGCAGCGTGAGCAAAGTCCCCTCCCCCCGACACGCACGCACGCACGCACGCACGCACGCACGACACACACACACACACACCCACGCGCACACACACACACACGCACACACTCACACACACACACACACACACACACACACACCACACACACACACGCACACACACACGACACACACCACCACACACAACACAACACACACACACACACACACACACACACACTGCAGCCCTGGCTACTAAAGGAAAGCTTGACTTATGCCGCTCCACAATATATATAACATATATATATATATATATATATATATAACCTAGTGTAGAGCTCTTTTAGCGCGGCGTAATGTTGGTCATGCGCGTCTAGCGGCATATTGAGATATTTCCATGCAGCCTTGCTGATATTAGTTCCTGTTTCGACCATCTGGGCAAGATTATAGTATCCCTAAAACAATACACGAGAGCAAAACGTAAATCATCAGCTATAATTTTAGGACGTAATAACAAAGGCCTATAACTAGCAATTAAACAGTAATGATATTATTGCGCATGCAGCAAATAAAGCAGAGGCAAATGTGATTAAAAAATATCTATACCTATGATAAATTTAAGATTTAAATATACTAATTTAAATGTACTTATAGTGCCCTGCACCTGTGGTTCGCCCTTCATGGCTGCTTCCGAATAGAGGCGAATGGCTTCCGTCATATTACGCTTCCCTTTATGTCCATACCAGTTATAATCAGCCATTTTCATTAAAGCTGCACAATACAATGAATATTTGTTACGCAATTGCACATGAAAGTCTTTACTAAACCATCGACCACGACCATCTTGGAGTAGAATAGCCTATATATTTTTATATCAAAGAGAGTAGAACATTCACATTCACTCGGATGCAAATACATATGAGATTCATTGCTCTATACATTTTGTTTTACATCTAATTTTGATGTGAGACAGAATCAGGAACAATTCGATATAATTATGCTCTATGAATGACTAATGACTAGAGCCTATAACGCCTAATTTTTTGACGAGGATTACAGCGCTATTTGCAAACGGTGGGGAAATGGTGGTGGAGGGCAGGGTAATTGGCACGACTACCAACAGACCCAGAGATCATAGTAGGAATAGTTCATTGATAATAGCCAATGATGCACTACATCGAGGAAAGCTCTTGAAGGATTTCATCGCCAATAGCGATAAACACGGTGGCAGGCGGCGCCACCGTACCTGGTATTATACTCACAGTGATTGAGGTTGTACTTACCATAGGCGCTAACCTGATCGAGGGGTCGTGAAATGCTGAGATTGAAATGTCTTATCGAACAGTCGCGTGTCATAACTCTCACAACATCTTCCTATAATCATGCACATTGCGTCGAAATAAAATTTCATTTGAGGAAGTTGTGTAACAAATGGCATAATAACAAAACATAATACTACTTTAAAATTTCACGATAGTAATTTTAACTAATACTTATTCCTCTGCGCCGAACAGTTTGCATCGGTTAAGATATCGTGTACGTATGGGTAGCTATTTATCCTATCTACGCCTGTCGAATCACAGTATTGCTTTGACATCTGGTACTCACCTGGTGTTGTTCGCAAAGGTAGGCCGAGTTAAAGTTTCCAACCTCCAGTCCCATTTCAGCCAACAGAATGTAGTATATGAGAGAAGCTTCCCTAATAAATATTTATTTAATGAACGCCACTGGCATTGGCTGATAGTTTTTCAATTCTATGTTACTATAATCAGTTATTAAATGATATTACGCTAAGCGCAATATAAACGATGACTATAATATCAGCGAGTGTTGATCGATACTAATATGTGAACATTCATCGCCATATTACGGTATTTAACGCGAAAAAACATTTTTACATTATTTATGTAAGGAAAGTTACCAGTTGTGGCTACGGAATGCATCGAGAGCTGTTCGAAGCTGCACGCCGATAGATGGCGTTTGCTCTGCCACGTATCGCGCCCAGTCAGCAGCCAGCTGAGGGTTTCTCTCCTCCACGGGACTTCCCAACATGTAGCAGGGCAGCGTGTTAATTCCCGCATCTAGGTTACCGCCTACTGCTGATATACGATAGTAGTGGTAGGCGATAACCTGTATAACATTGGAGACAAAATTCGCGTGTAATTTATCTATGCAATGAAGTTGTGACATTGAACTACTCTAGCATGGCGAGAGTATCAGAACTAGGGTCAGAGGCTAGCGTGCAAGGATATATGTATATATATATATATACAACCAGCCTGCTAAAATGTGACTTTGTTCTTTCTAACGTGCGATGACTACTATCTGTACCATGCCTCATCCTGCTAACTATGATCTGGACATTCTCTCGGAACTTGGTCGCTTACAACATATTATATAATAGGAGAAAATATTGCACAATTCTTCCGCATTGCTTTATATATGTCACTGTGCAATGAAGCAACGCGGTATCGCTGATTCGCTGTCAGCGTCGTCGTGACGTAGATGCTCAGCCGTGCTTCACTACCAGCTACTATCACCTTGCTAGCGGGATGTCCAGGAATCAGACCTGCGTCATACATATAGCCGAGATTATTAGCGGCCTCTGGGTTTCCCATCTTAGTCGCCTTCTGTAGGTAGGCGGCCGCCTTCGTCATGTTCTTCTCGTTGATTAGCGCGTGCCAGCCTATGGTGGCCAGAGCTGCTGGATTCCCCTGCATACAGAGAACGTATAACCGAGGCAATTATTAGTATCACACTACTGTATCGCTAACCGCGTGTAGCTCTCTGAAACAGCCATGAACTGGCAAGCATGTACACGGGAAAAATGATACCTGCGTATAGACATTTGGCCTCACGGGCCATTAGATAGACTCGTGTGTATCTTGTACTAGGTGGGAAAACACTGTTGGTATACCAGAAAACTTCAGAGAGCTCATCGTCGTGTGATGCGACCTGCATCACACGCATGTATCGCTGTATGTATATTAGGCCACAAAAATACACAAAAACTGAAGAAAAAACACAAAGACACACGAAGACACACAAAGACACGCAAATACACAGAGAAACTGTCTACTAGGGTTAAGATTTACGCGACTCCGCCCAAATGTTGAATTGTCACACAACAGAGCATATCGTGGAAGTGATCCGCGAACTAATTAACCCTACTCTGCTAACCCTTAGCTATTACTCTCTGTAGCTCCAAGAATCGGCCTTGTGTTGCGCAACCGACGTTGTATAAGCGTCTAGTGTCACCGGGCCGTGGCACACATGTAGACAACAGATTAATTAGAACTAAAGTCTAAAGTAACCAATTAATAACTGAACTAAACTAAACTAAAATAACCAAATTAAACTAAACTAAACTAAATTAAACTAAACTAAACTAAACTAAACTAAACTAAACTAAACTAAACTAAACTAAACTAAACTAAACTAAACTAAACTAAACTAAACTAAACTAAACTAAACTAAACTAAACTAAACTAAACTAAACTAAACTAAACTAAACTAAACTGAACTGAACTGAACTGAACTAAAATAAAATAATATAATCTAATTTATTTCAACGTTCACATTCATTGTATACGGTCTCGGTCACTCACGTGCGCTGCGGACTCGGCGATGTAACCCATTGCCTTGCCGAGGTCTTTCTTGGTGCCGTGGCCCTTCATGTGCAGTATGCCGTAGTTGTAGAGAGCCTCGGGATCCTTGGTCTGTGCGGCTTTCTTGTAGTACTCTAGCGCTGCCTGCATGTTCCGCCGCAGGCCATTGGTCCCCCAGTAGTAGAAGCGCGCCAAATCTTGCTGTATGAGCGTGTGTACATAGGTTCTCATATGAGTGTCTATACTACGCGATATCATCGTAAATAGTACTAGCACTATTTTATAAAATATGAAGTACATGTGTGGTTTTCCGGCTCTTACGCTTAAACTGCTGTATTATAATTCCAGTTTTTTTGTATTTGCGTTTGATTCAAAGAAACAGTTTCCCGCATAGCTCATGTAGCAAGCAATATTGCTTTTAACAATGATTTAACTTGACAAGATGATTAGTATTACTAGCTAGATGAAAAACAATCTTATCTGCTAAAGAGTTTGATGTAAATAGTACTGTAATGCCGGTTGTTTTTACAACCATACAGATAAAAATATACCCATAGCAGATGTATGCCGGAGCATTTAGCAGCCCGTATGCAAGAATATGCCACTGGAATTATATCAAATATTCTTTGTGACAGCGTAGTAACTCCAGCAGATAAGTCTGCATGACCAATGTTTTGATAGAGAAGTCTATCAGAATAGAGTGTCGATTATAGTTATAATAGTTTCTGTTGACTGTGGTTTGTCCCATTACTACCTGTATTTTAGTTGATTTCGCTCTAAATCATAACTATCTATAGCATTGCCACTAAGTATAGTGGTCGTCTTTTAAACTAGTTGAAGATTAGCTATTTAACTTCGGTGGTAGCATCGCACATACTGCCGCAGTAAGAAACCGGGATATAGGTTGTAGCGTGCACGTACCGATGCGTTGACGACGCCTCGCTGAGCCTGGTGGATGAGCCACATGTACCAGTCACTTCCCTCATCAACCTGTGCGGCTAGCATGGCTTCATCTATCAAGCGAATGTGCTCCACGGACACCTGCACAGACATTGGAACGGGATCACGGCCTCGTTAGTCTGCACCATCTATCTACTGGTCGCGCTGGCTTTCGATAGAGCAGCTCTCCTTTAACTTCGTCACGATATTCGGGCAATGTTACCACAATTGCGGCATGACAACCCTAACAGATTCAGGCTCATGATTAATATTCAAATGCAATAGTAGGTACATGAGTTGTATGACCGGCCGATTACTCACGTGACTAGAACTATGCAGGTCTCGATCTGCCTGAGACATATAGGCCACGTAGTAAAAGTAACCTGCGGGATAATGCATTACCAAAATATAAGACAACCGGGATAATCCTGTATCTATATATCTATCTACATACTTATATAATTATATATATGTGTGTGTGGGTGCGTGCGTGCGTGCGTGCGTGCGAGTGTGCGTGCGTGCGTGCGTGCGTGCGTGTGTGCAGTGTGTGTGTGTGTGTGTGTGTGTGTGTGTGTGTGTGTGTGTGTGTTTGTATGTGTGCGTATGTGTGTGCGTGCGATGTGTTATGAGTCCATGGTTATAATGGGCAATCCAGTTTCATGTCATGATGTCATCATGGCATCCATTTAAATTAAGTATAATTTTAATGCGCATATGCAAACACACACCAATGCGCAGGTGTGAGTAAGCGTGCTTCGCACGAGACTAATGCTAAACCTACGTATAAGCGAAGTGACTGCTACTAAAAAAAAACAGGTTTTATAACGACAGTTAGCCGCTTCCTTGCTCTGTCAGTTGTGATGAGAAGGTACAAGCGTAGCAGAGGACCACGAGTTGTGCCGCCAGATCCGCACGTTTTACTTAATATAGTTATATTCAAATATTATATATGTATATGTATATGTATAAATAAATAAATATATATATATATATAGATATATATATATATAATATTTCTCCACATTATAGATTTTGATGTTATTATTTCGCTCCCCGATAGAGAAGGATTTCTTTATTCGAAGATTTCGTTACGTGTATATCTCATTTCAATAACGGTTGCAGTCTGTAGCAAGCATAAATGCGAAACGAATAGAACCTACCAAATGCAACCTCTATATCTGTCGGGAAACCATCTAAGGAGTAGTAGTACTTGTTGGCTAAAGCCATCAGTGAGTACCTATCCCCTTGCATGACTCCCCGATATAGATACTGGTTAGCCTGAAGTTAATAGAGAAAAATGAATGAGTGATAATAACAGGAAGAAGTGAATTGCGTTAATTCTCATTGTCGATAAAAACGCTAACAGCAGTTAATTTCTCCTCTACCATGAAGGTAGTTCGATGAATGAAGTTTTCATTTACGAAGACGCACCTTGTTGATATTACGTTTCGTGGCTATACCGGCCGTGGTGAGAGCGTACAGCATGTATCCTGCTTCGGTGTCGTTCCAGCAAGACGCTGCTCTAAGCAAGGCAAACGCGTCTTGTAGCGCAGCAAGGCCGCGCTCCTGTGCATGAACATGCAGTTAACTTTACAAGCGATCAGTACAGTGACGATACCATAATAGCTAAGGAAAATTACCACAGCAAATCTAGCACGTCACAAAATTTTCGTGGCCTCTGGCTATATGCGATTTATCTTAGTGACACTTTCTGTAGAATTAATTGTATATAGTCAGTCGCCATAGTGACCCTCCTTTCACGTTAGCTTTTTTCCGCCATGTCAATCGGTGTTTTATGTACCTGTATATCTTGCGACACATTCTGCCGCAACCTTCCGGCTAGAATGTATCTATCTACGAATCCAGATGTCGCCACGTGACTCTTCAGAACACTATGTAGGCGGTCGAGCTTGTGGTGCTTAAGATCAGCGTACAATCGGCAGACAGGGTTGTTACTCCGGTCTCGTGTGCTGTGGATATAACTTATAAAGCCTTTCGCGCATGAACCTGAAATTGAGTATAATTAATAAACGAGTATACTGATATAGTAGTACTGATATATTTGTAACAAAATACATTTTTATTTTAGAAATCGAATGGTCCTCTACCGATGAGATGTATAGTTCCGAGAATGTCTTCGTTTTATAGTCTTACAAACTCTTGAAATTGCATTTTAATTCGTGCGATGAACGAGGAGAGATTGACCAAACAGTATATATCGGGGAGTATGTATAGAGTATATAACAGTATATATAGTACAATATGGGCTCGTATGTAGTATAAAACTAGCGTGTTTTCAGCGCATGCAAGCTCGTGTGCATACGTTTCTGTTTCCAGCGATCCAGCAGAGCTGTATATTTTCGTGTGAGAGCTAACAGCTCCTTCGTATCACTCCTGCAGCTGTTATCCAATTCCTCCCTAGCAGCCATGAAATGTTTACGCCCATCGGTCGCTTTCTGCGATGGCTGTACAGTCATTAATTACGAAAGTAATCAGTGAATAAGATGATATCTACACACTAATACACGCGAGGGATTGATTAATCTATTAACACCAGTTATATTTTAATTAAGTGTTATTATAAAGACATTGGAGCAATGTAGCCAAGAATGTCTAAGCAGGGACTGAAATAACGTTTTAGAAGACCCTACAGGTGTCTCAAGGACTGCAACACTCTATATTGAGCAAATGAGAAAATAATACGAACTTGATAACAATAATATAAATAGTGAGGGCATGTATACCTCATCCCACCTAATTACTCTTCTCAGATATATTTTTCCGTATGTGATGTAGCCAGTCATAGAGGGCATTGTCGTAGTTCCTCCAAATGCAGCGAACCCTTCAGCGTGGTTGAATTTTATTGCCTGAGGTAATCTGACGGGTTTAATGAGCTTTAATTACACATTAATAGTGAAATAAGTACTAAATGTTTAATAAGATTTGTGCATTATTATTCATTCTGTACTGCTTATCAATTGTGTATCTATATAAAGAATTGTTCTCATCGTACTGCTTTCGAACTAACTTTGTTTAGAATTTCGCTTAATATAAAAACCAATGCGCACAGCTTAATGCGTTTAACATGTTTTAAATAATCCAAGCTTATTTTTAACTGCATTGCAAAATGAATCATATTTATCAAAGTAGGATGGAAAATCGTTATGTTGCATAAGAACAATATAGTTAAATTCATTAAGTAAAAAACAGTAATTATTTCTAGAATGTATTTACGTATGGTCCATCTTGTAGTTGATCCCGTTTTCGTCCTCGAGGCGTATCTTGTACTTCAAATGTAAATCCGACACAAGTTCACCACTTAGTAGAATGTGTTTACCTTCCAGGAATGTTTCGAGATATTTTACGTGGTATGCGTTTTCAGTCTTTCGAGAAATACTTTTATCGTTAGCAAAGACATTTATGCTATAGAACATTCGGTAACACTTACGTATTTCCACGACTATATATATATATATTATACGTACACGATTCGCCTGAAAGCTGACAACCATGTGACACCACGTTTTCTTTGGAACGATCCACCATGTGAGATGGGCCAACTGGGAGTCGTCTTCAAGATTGAACTGCACGTGTAGGTGACCTTATGCAATAAAACCCAAGTAAAATCTCCTATCAACGTGTATAGAAATTAACTGTTAGCATTCTACAATGCTAAGTAGTTATTTGGCATACTACAGTGTATCCGTTGTACTAACATATCTCACCTTCACGCGATAGCAAAATTACAGGTGTGAGGTATTTTTGGTCCCAGGTGACCTTCTGGAACAATCCACAAAGTTGCGACCCGTGGCAGTACTCCTCAACGTAGAATGAAAGTGATAATGAAACTCTGCAACGATAGGAAATCTATTTAGACTGGACCAAAACCATGCATTCGTACTATATATAATGTGTCTATATGCTGATAATAGAGCATTAAAAGCAGTGAGCAAAACAACATTACACCTATGAGAAATGCAGTCGTAGGCCTAATGTGTACGGCACACTGGTACATAACATTTTCGTGAACGTTCCCGTTTTACTGCGATGTTTACATTACTTGGGGTTTGTTCGTTGCTCCTCAACCAGTTTCCTCTGATGGAACGGCTCGTATTTTCTGTAGACGCCGTAATATGCTCCGTTAAAAAGAAGAGGAAAGTTGATCGACTCGTACTCCTCTGTAATAAATTCAATTGCGGCGAAAGCTATTTACACAGTTCGCACACACGCACACACACACACACACACACACACACACACACACACACACACACACACACACACACACACACACACACACACACACACACACACACACACACACACACACACGACACGACGACACACACACACACACACACACACACACACACACACACACACAC